TCCAACGACACCCAGACTGCACCATTCAGATTCCTACAAATTTTTCAGTGCAGTCCTGCAGCCAAGTAATGTGTACAAAAGTGAATACAGTATACTAGTGCCTGAAAATGTATCTATTAGTAAAAATAACAGAGAAAAATGCATTATATTAGGGGATAGACTTGCACAAACGTGTACACAAATGTGTGAATTGGGAGAAATTCACACTAAAGTGATGATAATTTATCTGAACCTAAGATTGGAAGGAAGGGACATGGGTGGCACTGTGGTCTAAACCACAGAGCCTAGGACTTGCTGATCAGAAGGTTGGTGGTTCGAATCCCTGCGATGGGGTGAGCTCCCGTTGCTCGGTTCCTGCTCCTGCCAACCTAGGAGTTCGAAAGCACATCAAAGTGCAAGTAGATAAATAGGTACCACTCCAGTGGGAAGGTGAACAGAGTTTCCGTGCACTGCTCTGGTTCACCAGAAGCAGCTTAGTCATGCTGGCCACATGACCCGGAAAAACTGTCTGCGGACAAACGCCAGCTCCCTCAGCCAGTAAAGCGAGATGAGTGCCGCAACCCCAGAGTTGTCGATGACTGGACTTAATGGTCAGGGGTCCCTTTACCTTTAAGATTGGAAAAATGAGAAACTGAGAACAACAAGGTTCACTCATCCCTATGTAGCATAGAGTAACGAGACTGTGCAGCTTTTGAAAAGGGCTGGCTATGCAAGAATAACAGCAGCACAAACCTATTTGAGAGAAGCTATTCAACCAGGGAGTCCAAAAGCAAATAAAATTTGTACAGAATGGATTCAGACATCCAATTAAAAAACCTCTTCACGTGGGAATAATTTCCCCTTCCCATTAACAGCCACTGAATTGCTTTACGACAAAACCTTCAAATAACCACCTTTTATGTGATATTTGCTGTTGTCATATGAGCAGTTTGGCAGTTTGAATTATACCTAAAGAGCAGGGTAGAAGCAAATATAGAATTAATTTAGCAGATTTCTATACCGCCCTTGAAGAAATTTATATCCAGGGTGCTCTACACTATTACAATGTCACAAGAATAAAAACACATTATAAAGCCGCAGGCAGACAAGAAAGAAACACTGGCAATTTTTATAACTGTATGAAAGATAAAAGACTCAGAAAATAAAACAGGGGTTAGTTGGCCTCTTTAAGATAGTGCTGCTGGCTTCAATTGAGCTTCCCTGGGAAGGGTACACCATGAATGGGGAACCAACAATCCAGTCTACTACTACATTTCAAATTTTGAGAGCGTGCCGGAGGAACCATGCACAAAATGGCTTTCATGGAGGGGCTGTGGCATAACAGAAAATAGCCACCACGGGGAGTGTGTCATAACACAAAATTAGAGAGATGGCCACCCCTGACAACCTTATGCTTACCAGGGGGAGTCAGCTATGTTGGTTAGAGTGTGATGCTGATAATGCTAAGGTTGCAGGTTCGATCCCTGTAGGGGACAGCTGCCTATTCCTGCCTTGCAGTGGGTTGGACTAGATGATCCTCAGGGTCCCTTCCAAGTCTATGATTCTGTCTTGCTGGTCCTGATTATGGAGAAGATACACACATCCTGACATTGTTGCTGTAGGGAGCATTCCTCAGTACCAGCAAAAATATCAAGGAACAACCAAACCTCGGTTGTTGAATGCTTTCAGGAAGCCCATCTGGCTTCCAAAATGTTCGACAACCACGGTGCAGCTTCTGACTGGTTTTTTGACTTCATAATTTTTTTTGAAAACCGGAACACTTACTTTTTGGTTTTCGGTGTCTGGGAGCCGAAATGTTCCAAAACGGAGGCATTTGAGAACTGTGGTTTGACTGTACCAACACCACTCTCATTTCAGATAAATTGTTTAGGGGTACCTGCATGCTTTCCCCCATAACTTTATTTCCAGTAGGACTGGAGCATCTCCCCAGGGGGGTCACTGGAAGCCTTCATGGGTGCCATGGCAGTCACAGGCACCAGGTTGGTGATCCCAGGTCTACTCTAGCTGGCAGCCACTCTCCAAAGTTTCAGGAAGAGGTCTCTTCTTGCCAACTGATACTTTCTGTCACAAAGATACAGGTCCTTTCAGCTCTTAATGACACTTGGCAGCCTCAAACGGCTTGTTTCCTGAGGTGGAGAGCCTCAGTAATATGCCACTGTTATGATCTATGTACAAATGTTTCCAGACTAGAGCTCCTCCTTTGCTAAAGGGTGTCCGGTGTCAGTAGTTACATATAAAACCCATGATACTAATAAAACCCATGATTTCAGATTTTGTGTGTTTCTTTGTGTTAGGGTCAAATGATATTAAGCACAACACCCTTGCATCCTACCTGCTCGCTGTTTGAAAACTGAACTGGCACGGCAATACTCCCAAAGCAAACTTTACTTTGGTTTGGCACAAGTTACAAGGCAAAGCCGTAGTTGGCACTCTCTGAAAGTTCCCTTAGCCTTGTTATTTCCTTCCAAGAATGTAAAGGGGTGAGGGAGAACTGTTTTCCATTTTTAAATTTAGTGTTCACTCCGCACAGCTAATGTTCCTCATGGAAAACATCTCTAGCGATTGTGACTATGTTAGCATGCAAGGCAAATGTAGACCTGGAAAGCCTACTTTCTTGGTAAACAGGGACCCCAAGTTTCACCACGGCTGTTACTTTAGGCAAGAAGCACCCTATATTCCATCTTACAGAATGTCTAGCTGGCACAAGAGACCCCCTGGTAAAAGGAGGGCTGATTTTGGAACAGCCCTCTCTTCCTGCTTCCTCCTGCGCTTAACAGCTCAGTGTAAAATAAAGGCTGTCGTTTAAATTTACAGCCAGCTGTTCTCTGGCTAAACTCTGGATGGATCATCTTCCTTACGTGAATTAAAGCTGGAAAAGCTGTGGGTTCTCTGGGCACTGAAAAAGGCAGCTGCTGTGTTTGTGCATGTTCGTCGCTGAAACCGACCCACACTTTAGGAATGCAGGAAACTTCCTTGCGTTTAAGGGGGACCATTCCTCTCTATAGCTCAATAATATCTACAGAGACTGGCAAGGGCTCTCCAGGGTGTAAGACACAAGTCCTTTCAAGCTCTGCCTGGAGATACCAGGAATCGAATCTGGGGTCTTCTACATGCAGAGCATATGTTCTGCCGCTCAGCAATAACCCTTTCCTTAACATGCATGCTCTAAGCTACAAATGATCTTCCCCTGGCAATTTTTTGAGAGTACGTGTAATGCAGGGCACGCCTCAGCTTGGGTGCTGCACACTTGAAACTTCACATCAGCCCACCGGCACCTGATCTGCCAATGGGGTGCTTCAGCTGCCTGGATCATGTTCCTGCCACTCCAAATAACAACACTGGAAACAGACCTGATCTTGCCAAAGGTGCCAGTCAGTCGGGAAGGTTGGCTTGGCTCAGGGAAGCAGGACTGCAAAGCACCTTGAGCGAATCAGTGCTTGCTGGCTTTGAAAAGCTATTTTGCCACTTTAGAATTGTAGGCATGGAATGGGTCCCCAAGGTTCATCTAGTCCAAGCTCCTGAAGTGCAGGAATCTCAACTAGATCATATATGACAGTGGCCATCCAACCTCTGCTTAAAAATCTCCAAGGAAGGAGAGTCCACAACCTCCTGAGGGAGACCGTCCCAATACCGGACAGCTGTTACCATCAGAAAGTTCTTCCTGATGTTTAGTTGGAATCTCCTTCCTTGTAACATGAAGCCATTGGTTCAGGTTCCAGCATCTGGAGCAGGAGAAAACAAGCTTGCTCCATCCTCCATGCGACAGCAGGGTCTGGACTAGATGGCCATTGGGATTCCCTCCAACTCTACAATTCTATCATTCTATGAAATTGCTGTTATGGATAGTGCGATGTTATTGTTCCCTGACTGCATGATGCATTGTTAGTATAATTGTATATGTTTTTTAGTTGTGCGGCGGTTTCAGATATTCTAAGCTGCCTTGCGAGAATATTGTATTTTGAAAGGTGGTTAATCCCTGTATAATTTTTTTTAGTAATATCTACATTAGAAAAGCCTTACATTATTTTTGCCATTCAGAAAAAGGAATGGGAAGTGAAACATGATACCAAAGCTTGCTGTTAATATCCAGTGCTATACTAGCTGGCAGCTAATATGACCATCCAGTCAAATATACTTTTAGTTAAATATACCCATAAATACCTACTTGAAAAATGTTGCAGTAGTGTTCAAGCTACTGCTATTCTGCATAGAAATGAACTTGCAAATGCCAAAATTAGCTATTTGAAGAGGAAATGTTAAGAGAGAAAATGTTAATAACCCCCCCCCCAGGAGGAAACTAATAGATTATCTCTAGTTCGTGAATACACTTGGGCGATGGCATAGAAAATCTGAACTTGCTTGTGAACGTTAATGTCAGCTCTTTTTTCCTGCCAAGAAAACATTCCAAAATAATCCTGGTGTCTGTTCCTGGGTCTATTTTGTAATTATCGTAGAATCCCCAATAGACGAGCCTTGATTATCTGAACCTCACTGCTATCTAAAGTTACACCCCTACAGTCACACCACTGCCCGAGATAAACAGTGCTCCCTTTCACCAGAATTTCCAATTACCCCATCATTTGAAACTTGCATCTTGCCATTCAGAGGAATGTGGTGGTACAATATAAACAGCAAGCCACTTAACCCAGTAGGCAGACATATATAGAAAGCTGTTTACCCGCCAAGTGAGCTCAAATTCTTCATCGATGGGAGGGACCCCTCTTTGAAAGGGACATGAATGGACAGTAGCAGCCCTCCAATTTCCATTCCGATCATTGCTTAAAAGTGACACTGTCAGAAAGGAAACACCTACTGTGTACCTCCACTTGCCTTCTGATCCCCTATTAGTTAACCCCAAAGTGCCTATGTACACAGCCTTAATCCCCAAGTGTATATGTGAACCAGGGGGAAATCTGGAATTACTTGTAAAGTATTTTGGTTACTAATGCAGCTGTTACAAGTGTTGTATTTGGCAAGGGAACAGAAAAGGCACTGCATACCAATTTCGTGAGCCACCGTAAAAGCCGCATGGAGGCCGTCATCTTCAATCACTGCACAGCTGCGCTCAGGAGAGCATATGGTTCCAACGTCAGCCATTCCCAGAGTATCACATGAATGGTGCCCACATAAATCCTGCCGAGGAAGGAAAGGGAAAAGAAAGCATTTGAAGTACAGTTTTGCACCCACAGGCAATGACAGCTCTGAGCTGAAGGCTCTTTGCAAGCAGCAAGACACGGCGGACGATAACAGCCAACACCAGGAGGGCAACGACAAAGTCAACATGAGCAACGCCATGGGCTCTTCGGCAGACTCGCTCAAAGCTCAAGCTGACAATTTGCTAAGATCAGTCGGAAACCGTTTCCATATATTGTAAAGAAAGCTGGGGGGGGCAGCTCTTGAGTTAACTCATATTCTGTATACAGAAACACCATTCTAAAAGTGTGAGGAAGACGTTCCTAAGGAGGTGAAGACACATGCTGGCTGTGGAGGGTTCGGTGTGGGCCAGTTCTCTGCGTATGCCTTGCTGGACTGGGAGGTGGCGTTCCAATTCTCTTTGCCAACTCAGGCTGACATGAGAATCTGCAATGTGCTGATTATCAGTGATGAAGGCCGCTTTGGCAACTATTCCCATCTCTGAGCTTTTCAGTGCTCCCCAGGGACTTTCCCCCAGTTGCGGTATAATCTTCTTCCCCTTTCTTCTGACCTGCCAGGCCCGGGATGGTTGCCAAAATAATTTTGCTTTAAGGCAAGGGTTATTGTAGCTGAGAGGGCAAAGCTCATCTGTTTGGGTTCCTTACATGATCTATGGGGAAGTGCTTGGAGTATCAACTCCTGAGCCGACTTCAACTCCTATTGTTTTTAACGTGATCAGAAAGTAAATCTAACTTCTGAAAAAGAAACAACAAAACTTGGAAATGTCAGAGCAGCCTGACTCTCTTCTCCTTCATTCTGTGATAAGTAACTTTGAAAGCAGAGTTATTTCTCATGGATGTGGCTCACAGCTCCATGGATCAAGAAAGGATTGCTACTGCTGACCCTTTACCACATAGCTGTCACTTTTAATTTTTATATTCCTGCCTCAGGTTTCTTATTCCCTTAGAGATGTATACAAGTGCACAGGTAATTTTATTCATTACATTTCTATCCCAGCTTACCTTCAATTTTATTTCATTTTTTAATTTATTGAATATCTATACCACCCTTCATCCAAGGATCACAGGGAAGTTTACAGTATAGAAACACAAAACTATATACTGTAATAGTAAACAAAAACAATACCCCACACACAGTTTTAAAAGCCACAGATAGTTTAATTAGGCAAAGGCCTGCTTGTAGAGGAATGCTTTTGCCTAAAAATATGTAATGAAGGTGCCAGGTGAGCCTCCCATGGCAGAGTATTCCACAAATGGAAAGCCACCACAGAAAAGGCTCGTTTTTGCTTTGCCACCCTCCAACCTCCTATGGGAGGCAGGCAGACAAAGGGCTTCAGTTGGTGATGGCAGGGCCCAGGTCGGTTCATTTGAGGAGAGGCAATGCTTGGAGCTCAAGATGGCAATGCATCGCTCTCCTCCCCCCATTTTATCCTCCCAATGACCCTGAGAGGTACGTTAGGCCAAGAAATACTGACTGACCTTAGGTCACCCAGTGAGCTTCATGGCCGAGTGGGAATTTGAACCCTAGCCTCCCAGATCCTAGCCCAACACTCTAACCGCTACACCACACTGGCTCTAATGGACAGCTAATGGTAAATCCTGGACACGCAATTTTATGCATTACAGTGTTGTTGCATTATTGAAGAACTGTTCTAATAATAAGGCCCTTGATATGGCTGTTTACTTCAAACCCTTGATAGGTATTGTCATTTTAAATCATGGGTAGGCAAACTAAGGCCCGGGGGCCAGATCCGGCCCAATCACCTTCTAAATGCAGCCCACGGACTGATATACAGCTGATCCACCCCCCCCCCAGCACACATCCCACATGACGCTTTGGAGACCATTCAGCTTTCTTTGATTGAGATAGGCCCTCTGCTTTTGCTTGCAGACAGTGTACACAGACAGAAACACAGGGTTTGAAACGTGACCAATCCTGTTCTAATTTCAGGAGTTGCTCATGAAAGTTTTCCGAAAGCACCATTTTAATTTGGGATTATGTGACATGACAAACAACACTTTGTATGTATTGGCAAGCAACATTTTTCAATTAATAATAATAATAATAATTTATTATTTGTACCCCGCCCATCTGGCTGGGTTTCCCCAGCAACTCTGGGCGGCTTCCATAAAAACCAAAAAACACTAAAATATCATACATTAAAAACTTCCCTGAACAGGGCTGCCTTAAGATGTCTTCTGAATGTCAGGTAGTTGTTTATCATTTTGACATCTGATGGGAGGGCGTTCCACAGGGCGGGCGCCACTACCGAAAAGATCTAATACTAGCGTTTCTGGAGAACATGGCCATAGCTGTGATATCTGCCCCTCCCTTATCAGAAAGGAAACGATGGATTATCCCACTGACGTAAGTGGGAATTTAAGTGTGACTAACAAAGTGTGGAGCCAATCCAACAGCATAAATAATGCGGTTGAAATGCTCATCAACATAAAGGGAAATGTTTCTACTTAAAGCTCCTCATTTTATCCATTGCTCATTCTACAAAGTAATATTGAAAAAAGTATGGATTCTGGTCAGGCACGCATATTCTATGTCTGCAATTCTACAGCATGTGCAGCACATTTCTTGCAATGAATGAGTGAGTCTCTAATTATTCAGAGTTTATGGTGTAGGTTATCCCATGTACAGATACCAAACTGCTCAAAAAGGAAGGTAAATGTGGCAGACCCTTGATTAAAAGCAGCACCTGTGAAAACAATTCAGATGCTCCCTAGGAGTAATTCCAATCAGAGTAAGTGGCTTTCCATTATTATTTTTTTACCTAAAATACAAAAAATAAAAATACTGCTGTTTTTACAAGAAACCATGCAAGAAACCTATCAGCACGATGCCTTATTTTTCCAAATCCACAATTTCCATTTTATTCAAATATTATTTTTACCACTTCCATGAAAATTATGCACACATGCTATATTGTTACTATCCCATAGTGACTCTTAGCCGCAAGTTCTTAAGCTCTCACTCTAATAATTCTGGCAACAGGGCATTGTAGACACCCTACTTTAACAACTGTTGCTTTATGGATGTGCGTGCATGTTTCTATATGCCACTAAATTTGATAATTTGCACGATTCATGAAATGTGTAGAATATTGCCGAGTTCATGAAACATCCAAAATGCTCTGCCTAGTTAAGGAATAAAACCAATCTAATGAGTAACTCACATCATTGGCTATGCTTCTGCCTAATTCACCAACTTGCAGGAATTTGGCAAACCAAGCAAATTTAATGTTTTAAATGTAATTTATATAAAAGCTAGGCTACAGTCACATACATTACTTACTGGGCCTCCTGCTGAAATTTATTTTCTTTTATTTTGATAAAAGGTGCTTACTTTTGAGTCAGTGTGAAGAGGATTATGCTAGGAGGGATTTCATGAAAAGAAACAGGCTATTTCATGAAAGCTGGAATACTTTGCTAATTTCATGACCAATTTTTATGATTGGTAGTATGACCAAAATGGTCAGTATGGTGGCTGGCAACTAGATTGGCCAAAGACAGAGTGCAGGGGCAAAGGGATGACTCCTACTGCAGTGCCTCTCTCACTGAAGACCTCCAAAGGCTTCACACTGGAGTATCTCCCCCATTCATCTATTTGCAACTAAGAGCTGTCTGAGACAAAGGGCCAAATGAGAAAAGATGCCATTCATACAGTGATCAATCGTTGCATCTGCCACTAGGGCTGGGGCTGTGAGAGACATCAGAAGCAGCCACCAGGTGAGGAAGTCCTGGCCTGTGTGGGACTAACATCTAGATGCTTCAGTTCTGGACCTGGAGACTCAGCTACAGACCAGCATTTGTTGGAGCATTGGAGAAAAGAGGTGGGGGGGAAGGGAGGCTCATGGAATTTGCAGGTGTCACCAAACTGGGAGGGGTAGCCAATGCTGCAGAATACTGAATTGGGATTCAATATGTCCTTAACTGATTGGAGAGCTGGGCCAAAACTAACAAAATAAATTTCAATAGAGACAAATATAAGGTTCTACACTTAGGCAGATGGAGGACACCAGTAGTACATGTGAAAAGGATTGAGGGGTCTTAGTCAACAGCGTGACGCACCAGCAAAACAACAAACAAACAAACAAAATCAAATGCTTTTCTAGGCTGCATCAACAAAAGTATAGCGTCTCAATCAAGGGAAGCAATAGTACCACTCTATTCTGCCTTGGATCTGCAGTACTGTGTACAATTCTGGGTAGTAGAATTTAAGGAGAAATAGTGACAAGCCGGAGAAGGGGGCAACCAAACCTTATGAGGAACGGTTGAGGGAGTTGGGTATGTTACCTAAGCCTCTTGACTAAACACCGCTGTACCACACATGCATTTTAGAAGAAAGATTCCAGCAGCTGGCCTCAACTTATCTGATATTCTTTCAAAGTAGTTGGATCAATACAAAGTCACGGCACAGGAAGCGTGCAATGTAGGGTTGCAATGTATAAGGAAATTTAAGGCTTGACACTATTGATTCAGGAAAAAATGAGCAGGACATCACAAAATCTGTAACTCATTTGACAGTGTCTTAGAGGTCAGGATTTTGGGGGTGGGGCGGAGTTACATTTGGAAATTAAAGATAAGGGAGTTTGTATTTTCCCATAACGAACTCATTTTCTGAGTGCCTATCCTTATGAAGTCAACATGAGATTATCCACATAGAAAAAGGAGGCATCAACATGCTCAGAGGAAGCCTGATGTTTGCAGAAGTAGGTGGGGGGGGGGAAAAGGAGGGGACACGGAGACTAAGAGGGCAAAGAACCAAAGTCCAAATAGCCCAATGAAGTCTGAGCTTGCTCAGTGGGCACAGAACTAGCTGACTGTTAGAACACGGAAACTGAAAACTAGGGAGGAGGAAATAAAACCTCCTAGAATAGGGCATGGCTGATGGACTGAAACACTGAGCAGACTACGGCGCAACATTTTGTGCTAGGTACCACATGCTTAGGGAACCACCACCAAGAGTTA